GACCTCACAGCTTTCCACTACTCCATATTTATATTAAAGTGCTTAGTTGTGCCAACACCATGGTGCATAATAACATCACAGAACCATTACCCACTGTAGTGTCCCATTTTTCCCTAACAGCGGTCGATTTTGCCATCACCGTAGTACACTTTGGCTTCACAGGTCCCCTACCACACCACAGTGTTGCACTGTGACTTCGCGCTGTTCAAGTTTACCTTGACAGTGCTGCATTATGCCATAAAGCTTCTCTAAAACAGCACAGGTCCAGTGGTGGTGCTCTTCTGCCATGATAGAGTTCCAAGTACCTGGCAATGCTCTGCATTACATCTGCCCCGGTTGAAAGCTTCATTGTGCTGTTGTGGATGCAAACATCGTTTTGTTTTGATCCCAGGCGTAGGATATGGACTGATTCCAATTGTCCACAGCAGGAAACTATTTGCCTTGTGGGGGGCTGAGAGGGGCTCTTTCCCAGCTGAAGACAGTTAAATTCTGAGGACTCTGAGAAGGAATAAAAGCCAGAGCCAGGGAGTGTTAAGGGGCTCTGAGAAAGACAAAGGCTGCTGGTGCTCCCCCTGCTGCTCCTGGCTGCTGTTGATGCAGTTTGATGAGAAGGTGGAGATATCCTGAAACAAACATTGGACTTTCACAAGGAACCCGGTAATGCTAACCAATAGGAAGTAGCCAAAGAGAACTCCACTCCCTCTCCCCACTAACCTCTCTCTGCTACTTGATGTTGGGGTGTTAGATGGGATTGGGGTGGAGAATGGAGAAAGAGGCATAGGAAACCAAAATAAACCAGTTTTAAGAGGGCGCAACATTGTGCTGTCTCTACATCATTGTGATAACATGGCGTTCATTGCCGCATCACAGTCTGCCACGATTCCATCACTGTAAACCAGGGAAGATGGCACACAACAGGAAGTCATGATCTGCCAGAGCCTGCTGGGAATAAACTGAGGAAGGCTGAATAACAGCTGTCAGAAGAAGTGGCTAATAGTTTATAATCTCCAGTTTAGTAAAACAGGAAACTTTACAGGGCAAATGGGATCAGGGCATCACGTTCATCCCAGGGGGCTTAGCAGGTCTCAGGAGCCACCAGGTCTCTCCCAGTGAGAAAGGGTGACTCAGCCATGACTGAGCCAGAGAGTCTCAGAAAATCAGTACAGTACTCTGAACAACCAACACTTTAAAGAGAGAAAAAGAAAAGGAGGAGGAAAAGCTGTGCAGAGCAGGGGCAAAAGGAAGGCTGATCCTGGAAAAACCTCTCTCTCACAGGAGTAGAGGCCAGGTGCTCGGTCACCCCATGAATCACACTCTTGGGAAACTCAGAGCAAGTGTCACAAGACTACAGGCTGAAACATGGTCAACAGAAACCCTCTAAATAAGGGAGAGAAACTGACTCAGAGTCACTGCATCCAGTATTCGGGGAACTGGAAACCTGGTCAGGCCAAAGTCTGCAGGGGAGCACAGACTATGAATCCAGAAAGACTGCCAGGAGGAGGGACCAGCATTTACAAGTGAAGATTCCTGAAGGACCACCCTGAGGTGTGACCGGAATCTATGACCTGATTTTATGAAGGTTGGCTCAGTAATGGGACCAGCATCTGTGACCCAACCTTGCAAAGAACCATCTAAATTCTAGAGGTATGGCAGATATCTGAGCAGTCCTTAATGTCTTTTTTTTTTTTTTTCACTTTTTTCTCTCCCTCACTTTAAACAGTAACCATGACAGCCTTTCTCCTTTTCATACAATCCAGAACCTGAGCCCAGGGGATGGTGATGCCCACTTTTAAAGTGTCTCTTCTACCTCAATTAACATAATTGAGATGATCCCTCATAGGCATCCCAGCTTGTCTCCTAGGTGACTCCAGATCCTGAGAAACTGACAATATCAACCGTTACAGACAGAATGAGTAGATTCTGGGCTAAGCTTGTGGGGATGAGCACTGGAGCACCACACTTGACAAAGCCAGCCAAGGAACGTGCCAATAGGAAGGGAATAGAAAGCCATTGACATAACTACCGTCCACAAATCACCCAACTTCCACCTCTATCCATGCCATGCAAGATGGGTGCCCCAGACCCTGCCTCTCAACCTGCACAGTGCTAAGGCCTCTTCTGCCATTAAATCACAACTAAACTTGTCAAAGGAAACAGGTAAAGCAAGGCCAGCCTCTGCCTCAACTCTTCTGTCGTCCATGTTTCCCAAAGGTGCCTCACCTTGGCACAAGTTAGGCCATGAGTGCAGCTTGAGCTGTGGGGGAGTTTAGGGAAGATCATCTTCAGCTGTCTAGACTCCAGGAGACAGACAGGCAGGCAGCTTTGCCTCCCATTGAGTGCACTGAAGGAGCAGTCTTCCATATATGTCAAAACACCTCTTCTAAGCCGTGTGCCAGCCCCTTCTAAGCCCTAAAGCCACAGCTCTGAACAAAGTAAAGCCTCTGTCTTCACAGAATACACCTCCTAGCAGAAAAGACCTGAACTAAATCCCTACTCAAGCCAAAGAGCAATATTACTATTCTGAAGGAGGATTATGCTGTGAGCTACATGAAAGACTGTGTGGTCCTACTTGAGTGATATTGAAGACGGTCTTCTTGAAGATGTGGAGTGCTAGCTGAGACTTGAATAATGTTGTTACCTATGAGAAGGTTTAAATATAAACTTGTGAACAATATGAACAAACCAGAATGGCATGTGTATGAAAACTGTATTGTGAAACACATTCTTTTTGTATGCTGACTTAAAATTTAATTTAAAAAATAAAATTGTTTTCAGAAACAATCAAGTTTATCTTAATCCACAAAAAAAAAAAAAATTAAAAATAAAAGGAACTTGCAGGCAGAGAGAGCCTAAGTATCTAAGGAAGACAAAAGGGGCTGAGCACAACAGACAAGGTGGACAAGAAAGACAATAACAAAATGTTCTAAATGTAGGTATTATTAATCAAATGTGGTAAGGGCACAAATCAGACAACAACTGTCACTGAAGATAATCTGCTACTCACAGTGCCCAGGAAGGGAACCACACCACACCGGGCCACACCACACTGCCACACCATGCCAGACCACTCCATGCCAGACCACACCACCATGCCAGGCCACACCACACCACGCCGGGCCACACCATGCTAGACCATGCCGGGCTAGGGAAAGCACCATCAGGGACTGTGTAAAGATGGGGAGCAGGAGGATGTGGAAAAATGTTTGTCTCAGTTAGGGTTGTTGCTGTGATAAAGACCTGGAGAAGAAAGGGCTAATTTCAGTTTACACATCCGCAGCACAGTGGGTTACTGCAGGAAGTCAGGGCAGGAGCCTGGTGGCAGGAGCTGATGCAGAGGTCATGGAGGATGCTACTTACTGGTTTGCTCCTCATGGCTTGCTCAGCCTGCTTACAGCATCCAGGACCACCAGCCCAGGGATGGCACACCCTCAAAGGTCTGGGCCCTCTGCAATCAATCACTGAATAAGAGAAGGCCCCACAGGCCTGCCCAGAGGTCAATTGATGCAAAGTGACTCACGTTTATCTTATTCTTTCCACATCCAAAAATTATCTAACTATCTATCTATACCTTCCTCACCTTTCCTTTCCCTGAGTCACCTAATCTCAACTCCTTCCTGACCCTTAAATGGCTTCCCTCCCCTGAAATTTGTAGGGAGAGACACTCAATTGGGCTACAAATACAATAAAAGTTCCTGCGGAGGGTAATTTGGCAAAGTATTTCAAAACATTTTTACTCATCAGTCCTGTTTCTGGAAGGTATACTAGTGGAAGTGTGGGTACGTATACAGAGATACATGTGAGTCCATTTAGCTCAAGGTCCATGACAAAAGTAAACTGCAATGGCAGGACATTTCTTAAGGTTGTAGTACACCTATAGTGTAAGATATGGCAGAGACTCCGAAATTCCCTTCTAGGGGTCATGGCCAATGTTCAAATGAAGTTCACTAAAGTAGAGACTGTTAAAACACACTTTAAGCAGTATAATCTTACTTTTAATTTTTTATGATCATGCATGTATGCAAATGCAGAACAAAGCAGGTGGAACTAATTTCTCAAAGACATTAACATTTTGCTGATAGTTATATTTTCTTCTGCATATAAATTTCTTGAAGCTAGCAGAGTTACTTCTTATAAACTTGAAAAGAAACTCAGTAGTTTCCAGGCATTCATGTACAGTTCCTTGAGCACAGTTTCCCTGCCTCTGCTGCTACCTCCGTGACTAATAGCAGAAGAAGCGCTCGTGAACAATGAGGAACTGCTTTCTAAGGAAAAGGAGATGCGTTAGAGCCTTCCAACCAACGACCAAGGTGGCCACCCAGTGAGAAGAGTGACTAGTTTGTTGCAAGAAAGCAGTGTCATTCCAAGAGCCTCAGCCATGTCAGACTTGAGACTGGAGTCTGGGGGATGGAGAGAGGTGTGCTCTGTCTGAGGAGGGGAGGTAGTGAAAGCATGTCTTTCAGGACAGTTGGGGAGGAAGTCAAGTGCAGAATACCAGCGTCTTAGGAGGGTCCTGGAGATAGGGACAGTCAGGAGACACGTGGCTGGATAGACCAAGCCTACAGCAATACCAAGCTAGACTCAGTCCCTGTCCCTTCCCAGCAGATGTAATGACGTCAGGGAGAAAGACTTACAATAAGGGCTCACAGGGAGAAGCAAGAAATAGATGTCTCAAGAGCAGAGCGCCAGGAGGGCACAGAAGCCTCAGCCCTGACCAGGAATTACATCACCACACAGGGCCATCTCGGCTGCCTTCCCCGTGACCTCTGCTCCAGTGTGTGTTTGCTCGGCTCCGCTCTCGTGGTGAAGCACAGTCGAGGATGAAGACCAGGTCCCAGAGCACAGCTCTGAACAGTATGTCTGTGCCTTGGCTGTTCACACTGGGTGAAACACACCAGCGCACAGGCTACACCCTGGGGCGGGGCTCAGCTTTCCTTCTTCCTTGTGAATGTCCAGGGATCAGGCTCTTAGCTCAAGGATCTTGGGAAGAAGGTAGAGTGTGGTCAAGGACCCCAAAGGTATCTCTTCATGAGCCGCCTCATGGCTCCTGTGACCTCCTTGTTCCTCAGAGTATAAACAAAAGGGTTAAGCATGGGGGTGGCCACCGTGTAGAACATGGTGAGAATCTGGTCTGTATCTCCAAGGGAATCGGCCTGAGGCCTCATATAGGCAACAGTGGCAGTCCCAAAAAAGAGTACGACCACAAACAAATGGGAGGAGCAGGTAGAAAAGACCTTTTGTCGTTCCTGGGATGTGGCAACACCAAGGATGGTGGCAAGAATACGGGTGTAAGAGGCCACAATCAGTGAGAAGGGCATGAAGATAAAAGCTACCGTGATGACAAGATTCCCCACCTCACCCCAGAAAGTGCTTGCACTAGCCAGTCTCAGCACAGGCAGGATGTCACAGAGAAAATGGTGGATGGTGTTGGCACCACGGAAGGGCAAAGTGAAGATGAAGACAGAGTGAGTGGTGCCAGTGATGATGCCCGCGAGATAAGAGGCCCCCGCCATGCTGGCACACGTAGCCTGGTTCATCAGGGTGGTATAGTGCAGGGGACAGCAGATGGCAACATATCGGTCATAGGCCATGGCAGTGAGCAAGCAGCATTCAGCAATGCCAAAAAGGGCAAAGAAATATAGCTGAATGAAGCAGCTGGCAAGGGGAATTGTGGGGCGAGAAGACCGGAGGTCAGCCAACATCCTAGGCACAATGGTAGTGGTGTAGAGGATCTCCACCAGGGAGAAGTGACGCAGGAAGAAGTACATGGGGGAGTGGAGGGTGGAGTCTGCCACTGTGAGGAGGATGATCAGAGCATTGCCCAGCAAGGTAACCACATAGATAGACAGCACACCCCAGAACAGATGGCCCTGGAGAGAGCCAAAGCCTGAGAACCCCAATAAAATGAACTCAATCACTTCTGTGCCATTGTCATCTCTCATTTCCACACAGCCAGACTAGAAAACAAAGGAGCCAAAGAGGGGTAGCCAACTGGAAACAAAGTCTGCAGCAGTAAGAATGAAGAGTGGTCTGCTTGCCTGCGGAGGAGGTGGCTGAGGAGGATGCTGAGGTGGATGCTGAGGAGAAGGGTGAGGAGGAGAAGGATGAGGAAGAAGATGAGGTGAATGCTGAGGAGGATGCTGAGGTGGTTGCTGAGGAGGAAGCTGAAGAGGAGGAGGAGGTGAGTGCTGAGGAGTCTGAGGAGGATGCTGAGGAGAAGGCTGAGGAGGATGTTGAGGTGAATGCTTAGGAGGCTGAGGTGAATGCTGAGAAGGAATCTGAGGAGGAGGCTGAGAAGGATGCTGAGGTGAATGCTGAGGAGTAGGCTGAGGAGGCTGAGGAAGATGCTGAGAACCTCAGCTGCTGCTGACTCCCACTGAGGCACACTGGCACATCTTCCTGCTGTTTCAGGATTTCTCAGACAAGCTTTGTTCCACTCACCCAGGGGCTAAAAGCAAAGAGTTGGAGACAAAAGCGGTTTCCTTCAAGAAAGGGGTTGAGAATATGGACAAAAAGTGAGTTATCCGACAGAGACAGTCTTCCACCCAGAGGCAGAAGGTGGGTGGGGAAAAGCCCCACAGAGCAGAAGACAGGAACACAGAATTGAGGACCAGAGAGTTATGGAGCTTTTACCTGAAGGTGGATCCCCATGGCCCTCAGAGTTCTCTCCCTGGAGCACATCACAGCAGTTCAATTCCCTGAAGAGCTGATTCTCAGACAGTGGAAGTAGGAAAGTGGGGGAGGAAGAAGCAGGGAGGAAGTGGCTTCCTTTCTTTTGTGCCTAAACTCCCTGCTGTTGGGCCTGGGGCGCGCTTCTCACACCCTTCAACTAAGAATGAATGCAGCTGGGCTCAGAAACCCACTGCTCTAAACCTTTTGCCCTTTTCTTTAGGTGGGACTTCCAGACATTACCCCTGAGGCTGCCTTCTGCCTTTCCCACCCTCAGAATTAGTCCTTAGCATTCTTTCCATTCCTGAAAAACACCCTTTCTCCCAGTGCTGGAGACGGAACTCTGGGCCTTGTGGATACTAGCAGGCTTCTTCCCTAGTCTTGGAAAGAATTTGTAAGCGCTTTTCTAAAACAGTGCTAATCCCAAAAGAAAATAGCTATTGGAATAACAAGCTAATTCTGAGAGCACTCCCAACCCAATGGAGGCCTTTGACCCACACCCCTGCTGCTGAAGGAAACAGTACCTTCTCTGAATGTCAGAAATGGGAAAACACTCCTTAGCCCTCAGATGGGAAAGATGGCAGTCAGTGAAAGAGGCAGAGCGAGCCTGAGAGAATGCCCAGTGAGCGAAGACTAGAGAAATGTAACAGGAACTTTCAATGATGTCACTTACCTAAGAAAGGATGTTTTTAATTGCCATAGCTTAGGGCCCAGTTGGGTAATCCAGAAAGACCCTTCCTATTCAAGGTACTCTGTTGTTTGAGTTGTTTCCTTCTTTTGTGGTGTGAAGGTCTGTGAAGGATTCCAAGTGGAGGGCTGGAGAGATGGCTCTGCAGTTAAGAGTTTGTAGCTCCTGCAGAGAGCTGGAGTTCAATTCCCAGCACCCACATGGCGACCCATGGCCAGTCAGTTCCAGGGGATCCAACACTGTCTTCTTGCCTCCCCAGGCACTGTGCACACGTGCACAGACATGCATGGAGACAAAAGCCCAAAAACATAAAACAAAAAGTTTCTTTAAAAGAATTCCAAGTGAGCCTTGGTAAGCACACTGTGGCAGACAACACACAAGAAAGAAAGAAAGAAAGAAAGAAAGAAAGAAAGAAAGAAAGAAAGAAAGAAAGAAAGAAAGAAAGAAAGAAGGAAGGAAGGAAGGAAGGAAAAGATTTTTTTTAATTTTTATTAATTACAGTTTATTCACTTTATATCCTAACTGTAGCCCCATCCCCCATCCCCTCCCAATCCCAACTTTCCTCCCTCTTCTTCTTCTATGTCCCTCCCCCAGTCCAATGATAAGGGAGGCCCTTTCCCCTTCCATTTGACCCTAGTCTATCAGGCTTCTTGTCTGACAAGACAAGACTGGCTTCTTGTCTTCCTCTGTGGCCTGGTAAGGCTGCTCCCCCCTCACAGGTAGGTGAGCAAAGAGCCAGCCCATGAGTTCATGTCAGAGACAGCCCCTGTTCACCTTACTAGGGAACCCACTTGGACACTGAGCTGCCATGGGCTTCATCTGTGCAGGGGTTCTAGCTTATCTCCATGCATGGTCCTTGGTTGGAGTATCAGTCTCAGAAAAGCCCCTGGGCCCAGATTTTTTTGTTCTGTTGTTCTCCTTGTGGAGTTCCTGTTCCCTCCAGGTCTTTCTATCTTCCCTTCCCTTCATAAGATTCCCTGAACTCTGCCCAAAGTTTGGCTATGAGTCTCAGCATATATTTTGATACACTGCTGGTTAGAGTCTTTCAGAGGTAGTCTTCACAGAGTCCCTCTGTGGTAGGCTCCTGTCCTGTTCCCTGTTTCCAACCTCTTCCGATGTTGGTCTCGTTTGCCAAGACTTTTTTAAGTGTGGGAACTAGAGAGATGCCTCAGAAACTAAAAACATAAACTGCTCTTGCAAAGACCAGTTAGGTTCCCAGCACCCATGTCAGATGGTTCACAACGCCCTGTAATTCCAGCTCCGGGGAATTCAATACCCTCTTCTGGCTTCTACAGGCAACCATGCTGAAGAAATGGCTCAGCAGATAAGAACACTGGCTATTCTTCCAGAGAACCCAGGTTCAATACCCAATACCTACACATAGACACACAATTTAAAGGAGAATGAAATTTGAACTCCTTTTGCATGGTAGTGTTCAGTTGTGCCTTTACACAGCATATTTTACATGACAGCTGGACTGTGATGTCACAGCATTCACTTGTGTGATCCCATGCTGCACTGTGCCACCAGAGTGCTCCACTGTACCATCATTGTGCTTCCCGGACTGCTCATAATGTGACCTCATACTCCCTGTGACATCACAGTCATACGCTCTATGTTTCAATGCTACATTTTGGCATCACAAGCTCCAGTGCCTATCTCTGGCCTCCAAGAGTGCCGGAGCGCCGCGCGCGCGCGCACACACACACACACACACACACACACACATGCTCACAAACACATAAACACAATTAAAAATAAAAAGAAAGAACTTGACTTTTAAGCTATTTTATTTTATTTTTCAACAGTATGTCATTACACTGCTTTTGCTGGCTGGAATTCAACATGTTGGCTAGACCAGCCTTGAATTCACAGAGCTCTGCCTACCCCTCCATCTCAAATGCTTAGATTAAAAGTGTGTGCTGAAAGGAGCCTTTAAACAATGGGTTTGAAACTGGCGAGAAGGCTGAGTCTGTCGGAACACTTGCTGCTCTTTCAGAGGACCCAAGTTCTGTTCCCAGCACCATACCAGCAGCTCTCAAACACCTGTTACCTCAGCTCCAGGGGACCTACTGCCCTCCTGTGGCCTACACACACACACACACACACAGAATTGGCATGGTTAAAAGCACCATAATTATTCTGTCATGTCTTTTTTTTTTTTTTTTTTTTTTTTTTTGCAAAGAGTTAACTCAAAGTAAATCGGGACTTTTAAATTTTAATAAATTTCTTTGTTGTTTTTATGAGACAGGGTTTCTCTGTGTATCCTTGCTATCCTGGACTCACTTTGTAAATCAGACTGGCCTCAAACTCACAGTATCTGCCTGCCTCTGCCTCCTGAGTGCTGGGATTACAGGCATGTGTCACCATGCCTGACTAAATTTTAATCAATCTTAATTCAAGTAGTCACCTTGCTTTTCAGTTTTAGTTTTTATGACAATTCATTTTCTAAGAGTCTGAGTTAATGTTGACATTTTAAGAACAAAAGGATACGCTGTGTTCAGCACATTTTCAAATAACTTGGAAAGAATATGAAACAGAGAGAAAACAGAAATTGGTGAGCTCAGATTGTGTTGAATATTTGTGGTACTATTTTATTATTTTGCAAGTTTGAAAAAAGTTTGAATAAAAGTATAGTAATAATAAATATTTTTGAATATTTAAGAATTCCAAGCTGGAGTCAGGCTTAGTGGTGCATGCCTTTAATCCTAGCCCTTGGGAGGCAGAAGCAGACAGATCTCTGTGAGTTTTAGGCTAGCTTGGTCTACCGAGCAAGTTCCAGGACAGCCAGGGCTACACAGAGAAACTTCATCTAAAAGACAAAGACAAAACAACAACAACAAAAATTCCAAGCTGGGACACAGAGGCTCACACATACAATTTTAGTACTCAGGAGACTGAGATAGGAAGATTGCTTTGAACTTGAGGCTAGCCTAGGCTACAGAGTAAGAGACTTTTTTAAAAATCCAAATAACTTAGGTGCTGGTTTGCCTTTTATCTTTTTGGCTTTTGTTTGATTTTGGTTTTCAAGACAGGGTTTTCTGTATAGCTCTAGCTTTTCTGGAACTCAGTCTGTAGACCAGGCTGGAGATCTGCCTATCTCTGCCTCCCAAATGCTGAGATTAACCCTCTGTCTTAGTTAGGGTTTCTGTTGTTGTGATAAAACTTTATGACAAAAAGCAACTTAGGGAAGAAGCCATTTATTTCTTATTACAGCTCTCAGGTCACACCCAGTCACTGAGGGAAGTCAGAGCAGGGACTCAGACAGGAACCTGGAGGCAGGAACTGAAGCAGAGGCCACAGAGAAAAGCTGTTTACTGGCTTCCTCCCCATAACTTCCTCACCCTGCTTTCATCTGAACCAGGACCACCTGCCCAGGTGTGGCAGCATCCATAGTGGGCTGGGTCATTCCTCATCAAGCAATAATTTTAAAAGTGTTTCACATAGTTGCATACAGGTTAATTTCATGGATTGTCTTCTCATTTATGGTTTCCTCTTCTCAGATAACTCTAACTTGTATCAAGTTAACAACACAAAAAACTAATTACAACTAAGAAAACATCCAATGCTGACTTCTGTCTCTAC